AGGGTCCCAGCAAGCAGGGCCCTTTGTCTGTTTTTTTGTTTTGTTTTTTTGTGTTTTTTTGTTTTGAGATAGAGTCTCACTCTGTTGCCCAGGCTGTAGAGCAGTGACACAATCTTGCTGGAGTGCAGTGGCACAATCTCAGCAACCTTCGCCTCCTGGGTTCAGGTGATTATCCTGCCTCAGCCTCCTGAGTAGCTGGGACTACAGACATGGGCCACCATGCCTGGCTAATTTTTGTATTTTTAGGAGAGGTGAGGTTTCACCATGTTGGTCAGGCTGAACTTGAGCTCCTGAGTTCCAGTGATCCGCCCACCTCGGCCTCCCAAAGTGCTGGGATTATAGGCGTGAGCCACTGCACCCGGCCGACCCTTTGTCTGAAGAGACAGGATACATACCACAGAAGCAAAGACGTATTTCTGATCTTTTTCTTGTAGCAGCAAAAGTACGTCGGTCAGCAGGACGGCCAGGACATCTGGGAAAATAGTATGGAAGGAGGCATCTTAAAAGTCCCATGGCCAGCAGGTCTTGCTGGGCACCCCCGTGGATGCCACCTCCCAGAAAGGTGTAAGCAGCGTGATGCTTCCGCCTGGGCCTAGAAGTTTCCTTTCTGCCTTGCCTGCATGCCCCCACCAACACCTTTCCAGGTCTCAACCTTCAGCACCAATGAGCAGCTGGAGCCTCCTCTAAGTCCCTTCCGTGTGCAGAGCTCCAACCAGGGCTCCTGCCCATGTCAGGCCACTGGGCCCCACAGTTCTCTTTGCTGTAACAACATCTGCTGGATCTGACCTTTGAGAGTCTGATATGGTTTGGCCGCGTCCCCATCCACATCTCATCTTGAATTCCACACTGTAAGAGGGACCCAGTGGGAGGTAACTGAATCATGGGGGCAGATCTTTTCCATGCTGTTCTCGTGATAGTGAATGAGTCTCATAAGATCTGACGGTTTTATAAGGGGGAGTTTCCCTGCACAAGCTCCCTCTCTCTTTGCCTCCATGTAAGACGTGACTTGCTCCTCCTGCCTTCTGCCATGATTGTGAGGCCTTCCCCACCAGGTGGAACTGTAAGTCTATTAAACCTCTTTCTTTGGTAAGTTGCCCAGTCTCGGGTATGTCTTTATTAACAGCGTGAACACGGACTAATACAGCATCTCTCCCTCTGATTTCTCAGATGTGAATGGAGCTCTCTGTTCTCCCTGCTCCTGGGTCACCAGGACCCGAGCCACTGCATCGATGCAGGCCAGGGGTGGTCTCAGTCCCCTCATGCCCCTCAGTCCCCCTTGCTGCCTTGTCCCTGTATGAACGTCTCGTGCTGTAAGGCTTGCTGCACATAGATGCAAATCAAGAGCTGCGTTCAAGGGCAACACCACTTTTGGGGAGCTGCTTCTAACACCCCTGTCTAAGTCAGATACGCTTTCGCTAATTCTCTTGTATTGCAGTCTGCTGGCTTCCTTAAAGCATTTGCTGGGCTTATAACTAGTTTTTCTGTTTGTTTGCTTGTTTCTCTCTTTCAGCCCGAGGGACTGATGCCCAAAAAGGCTGGGCACCAGATCTTGCCCGGTGGGGTGTATTCCTACTATCCAACTTGGCACCTGGCAGGCAGAAGGCGCTAAACCTGTCTGCCAAATACATGCCTACTCAAATGATGAGTGGGCAAATGCTGTCATTTGGCCACTTCAATGACTCCCTCAAGATCCTTAAAGATGCTGATGCAAACAGATAGCTTGGGATGTTTCTAGAGGCTCCAAAAATGAAGAGGAAACCCAGGGATGAATCCTGAGTACTCTCTGGTCTGAACTGCAACATGGGTCTCGAAAGCAGGGCTCGGAGCACACCCTGGGCAGCGAGTGGGATGCCTGGGGACACTGACCAGCAGTCCTGGGGGTATTCTCTATCCACATGGGGGCCTCCCAGTGGCTGGGCCCACGGCAGGCTGGCCCATGACTGCCCAGATGGGCAGCTGAGCGTGTTTGGAATTCTGGACCTGGGGTGTCACGATGTGTCACCAATGCCCTGGGTTTCCACTTGGAAGTCAACGACTCAGCATGGCCTCCTGGTTTGTACTGCATCCTTCCAAAGACCAGAGGAGGAGGACGGTGATACAACCACCTCTTTTATGCTACACCCCAGCTGCCTTGCTCATCCTGACTCAGCTCATAACCTCCCTTCAGCCATGAAGTAGCCAGACTTCAGTGGTTCTGTGTCAGTTGACACCCAGCAAACCAAGATGGTGCCCACGGATGTAAGAGGGCACCCACTGATCCGAGATGATGCCACCACTCCTAAGACCATGCCACCAGTCCGAGATGGCACCGACCAATCAAAGATGGTGCCATCACTCCCAAGACCATGTCACTGATCTGAGATGACACCCACCAATCAAAATGGTGCCCACTGATCCAAGAGGGAGCCCACTGATCAAGATGATGACACGATTCCAAGATGGTGCCCATTGATCCAAGATGGTATTCACTGATCCAGGATGATGTCATTACTTCCAAGACTATGCCACCAATCCAAGATGGCACCCCCCAAGATAGCACCCACTGATCCAAGATGGTGCCATCATTCTCAAGACCGTGCCACCAATCCAAGATGGCACCCAACCCAAATGGTGCCCACTGATTCAAGAGGGCACCCACCAAGATGGTGCCACTGATCCAAGATGGTACTACCATTCCCAAGACTGTACGACCAAT